TAATGATGGAAAGGACATTATTTTGATGCCAAATAGATCCTTGATATGAATCTTGACTTCTTAAAATATCAACATTTGCCATTTATCATGGGAAAGATAATGTAATATCTTAGATCTACCATTTCTTCATCTGTCAAGTGGGACAATCATATCTCCTTGTAAGTTATGGTGAACATTAAAAGAAATATTCTGTTTACATTTTGTTCTAAAATAAGCTTTAATAAACAGAAGTTCTTATTTTCCTATCATATTTAGAAAAATCAGAATGAAACGGGGATTGATTTTTCTGATTTTACTATTAAGAAATTGCTTTATGTACAATTACTTTAAAATTTTATTTGGTAAAGTATCAGTACAGATGTTAAAATAATATCTCACTGTTTCACAGCAATTATTTGGCATTAAAAAGTGTTTTCCACTAAAGTTGTCATATGCGGACAAATACATTTATTTTTTCTTGCTCAGAACCTTAGTCAAACCATATAAAACAAATTTAGCAGAGTTATAAAAATTATTGGTCATGAATTAATTTATAGTTTGTAAATATTTTATAAACCTATGCTATAATCTTTCAAAAAGATTTACTTCTTTATTGATATAATTTACATATCAATATAATTTTTCTAAACCATTAAGTTTCAGCATGTAAAGTTAGTTACTCAAGCTTGAAAGCTACAGCTTTTGGCTTTTTTATCTTATTCATTCATTTAACAAATATTTAGTGACTATTATGTCAGGCACTGTTCTAGGCTCTTGAAGTTACTCTTGAACAGCTCATATTTCAGCAGCAGGAGGGAGCGCATTTTTGTAAATAGCTGAGCAAGCTGAAGGTTATTGAAGTGTGTGGATGTGGTGGTGAGGGGGAAGTAAGTAAGAAGTAAGTACGGTAGTGGGTAGTAAGTAAGATGCTCAAAGGAGGAACCATCAATGACTGACCTGTGAACAAAGACTTGAAAAGGGCAAACCCGGTTTGTCATACCAGCATCAGGCAAGAGCATTCCACCAGAAAGAAGGGTTGGTGCAAAGCCCCAAGATAAGATTGCGCCTGGACTGACTGAGAAAGACCAGCATGGAGCCTGGTGTATTGGGAGCAGAGGGAGCTGGTGGGAAAGTGGGAAGGGGAGCCAATGCAAGATTTTGAAGACATGGTCTGATTTCTCTTTCAAGAGTCAGTTTGGCTGATGTGTTGAGAATAAACTCCAGGAAAAGGACAAAAGTAAACATCCAGCTACCAGTTAACAGTCTGTTGTGGAAATTCAAGTAGAAGGTGATATTGGCTCAGGACCGCATGGCGATAGTGGAGGAGGTGAGAAAGGGTCAGGTTTGGTGTATGGTTTGAAAGCAGAACCAATCGGGTGTATTGGACAGACACAGGAGTGAAAGGAAAGAGGAGCCAAGTCTAAAGTTTTTAGCCTGAACAGCTAGAGAAATGTATTTTCAGTTTAGCCAAAATGGAGATGGCTGCTGGAAGATTCGGTTAGGGGCATGTGGGAAAGATGAAGAATTCCATTTTGGAAATACTGAATTTGAGAGGCCCCTTACAAATTCAAATGAAAACACTGAGGGGAGGCAGTTGGATGTCTGGAGTTAGGTGGGGATCGAAGTGGAGATAGGACTCTTGCATGTTTTAGGTACTTTTGGCTAATGCCATGTGGAAGAAGGGCCATAAGCACTAAATCTGAGAGTTAGGAGAAAGTGTGGGCTCTCACACCCATGCACTCTCTTCCTGTCTACGTATTCTCTTGTTTCTATGTATTGTTAATCAGTGGGCAACAATCAGAAGATTGTATATTTACAAGAATGTTTCCTTCTGTTAACCTTATGTTGCTTTAGCTGCCTCTTACAACAAATGCATACTAACTAGTCCAATAAGATTTGGAAAGTAAGCTTTTTCTCTTAGCACTGATAGGATGTAATTGTTGTCTCCATTGATGATAGGGGAAATCCAGTTAAAATTCCAAAACCAAAAGATTGAGAACAGAAATGTAAACCTGTCACAATCTATTTGGCAATGTCAGCGCACAGAAACTGGTTTCCCAGCATTCATCATGAAAGATAAAACGATTTTGATCGAGTTCAAGTTGAGATAAGGTTTCATAAAATAGTGGAATTTTTATTTTTTATTTTTTTATTTTTTTATTTAATATTTTTGCTGGTGGGGGTGCTAGTGACTGCAGGCACCAAAATGGAAAGTCAAAAGAAAGAACGTAATTATGTAAATTATAATTTTGGGTAAGCCTTTAGGATTTTTTATTTACATACTGTATCTGGAAGCACACTCAGTTCCTGTTTGGTGTGCCTCATTGGCTGGCTCCTGCAATACTTGTTTCTCTTGTGTCAGTGCACGGAAGGGTACCAGTGGCTGAGTGGGTAGTTGGCAGCCATTCATTGCATTGATTGCAGTCATTCATAAAACCCTGCAGCGCTTCGGGCGGAGCCTGGAGCCTTCCCCTGAGGTGGTAGCTGAATGTCTCATTTGCATGAAGCTTCCTTGATGCTTGAGTGATGAGGGAATGTTCACATGCAGCTTGAAAGCTGGTAAGAGGCCATGTCTGATAAATCCCCAAGTATTTAAAGTCTTTGTAAAGAGTATGAGGTTAAAACCCTTGAACTCCTTAGTCTGGGAAGTCAGCATTGTGGCATTGTCTGTGGCCTCCTTCTGTCTGGCAGAATGAATAAGTCATATGTAGAGAAAGATCCTTAATGTCCATACTTACGGAACTCTCATAGTTGTGCTTCTTAGAGTATGTGGGCTCTATCTTATTATAATAACTTTAATGCAGGGGAGATACTTGAAAGTACTGGGGCTAAACAGTTTCTATACATTAGTACCATCAAAACTATTACATTTTACCCCTCCAAACTGTGATATGCCAGACACAACAATCAATTTTCATTTTAGAGATGTGTTAATCTACTCAGGCTAACAAAAACCTTAGTAGTACATTATGTCTCTTTATGTATCTTTGTGTATCTGAGTATAGTATAGGGCTTTATATAGTGAAAACTTTCAGCTAAAAATAACTCAAATGCGAAAATGTAGGAATATATATTAGGAGGATATATATTAGCATAGTTTAGAGCCCCCTTTAAATTGGTCGAATAATTAGCAACTTGGAACAGCTGGTTTCCCCCCTAAAAACTCAGATTCAGTAGTTGGCTATATCTTAGTTTTATGGTCAGGATATATGTTAGTATGAAAAATATGTGTCGTCCTACTTTGTAAAAATCTCACTTAAGAGCAGATTTAAGAAAAACTAATTAAGTAGCATGTTTATTTCAAAGCTTTGTTATCAAATACCTGAAACTTTAGGAGAAAAAAAAAAAGAAATGAACTAAGATAGAAGGTTGCATATGGTTTCTCACGGATATAGTTCTTAAAATGTTTCCTAAAGTGGGTGATATTTCCGATATTTTCACAAACCAGTACATGTAGGTTAAATGTGCTGTATGTGCTATTTTTAGTTGGGTGAGAATTGCTAAAGATTTTCCAGTGCTATGAAATTTAACTTCCTGGGCATTGTACTCTGTATAAATTAGATTTAAATTTGCAGAGTTCAGGGATTCTAGGATATTACTTCTCCTTAAAAACCGCGACCTTACATGTTCTCTTAACCCTGCAGTCTGGGTGGCCGTCTCCTCCCACGAAACTGGAATGAAACTGAAACGAAGGCCTTGTGGTTCCTGAGGGATTGATCATTCCCTTAAGAGTTTAGCATTAGCACTTGACAAGTCACATTTTTTCCCCCTTGCCCCAGAAGGGACGTGTGCTAAGGCTTTGAAATGACACTTTTCTCCTTTTTTGTCACGTTACATCCCAATTTTTAAGTCTTACTTGACCTTGTTTGGAATGAGCAGTGTGTGTCTGCACGTTTCTGTGCGTTGTGTCCCTGTGTCCCAGTATCGCTCTTTCAGAAGTGGAGAATTTAGCCAGGCAGCTTTTAGCCCTGGGAAACATTTATCTGGCACTGACCCACCAAGAATCCACTTCTGGAATAATATGACTGGCCATAAGCATACGTAGTGTAGTCAAAACTCCAAGAAAACTCCATGGAAGTTTAAGAACCAGATTTATGTTTGAGAATCCTGGGTCCTCAGGGGTGTTTCCAGTTAGCAAAGTCTAAGATGTGTGTGAGGGGGGTCTCAGCTTTACAACCGAGGCTTCCCTACGTAAAGCAATGTTTGTTTTTGGGCTTTTGAGGCAAAAGAATATTTGAGCTAACCAAGTACAGCCTCGGATGGGGGCGTTTTCTGATTTCTGCCCGTAAATCTCTCTGATGGTCTATACGCCCTCTCGACATGAGGGTAAGAGAGTGTCTCCTGCTGCCCTTTGCAGCTCTGTTACAATGTCTATCCTCTGCATCCATTTATCCTGTGATGGAGGACTTAAGACACAAAGACCTTGTACTACTTTTTCATATTGTGGATAATCTTCTTTATTTATTGTACACACACAGGCACACTCTTACTATATATGTGAATATTTTCTTCTTGCTCTTTCCTTAGTTTGAAGGGGATGTTGAATATGAGGCTGTCTAGGGGCCTCTCAGGTCTCTTTTTTGCATTGAAAGGAAAGACCTGTGTTGTGATGAAAAATATGAAACAGGAGTCTTAGTAAAATAGCCAAAGCTACAGAAAATCCTGCTTATCATTTAACATAGCAACATTTTTAAAGCTTTCAGATGTCTTCATATGGGGAGGCCATGGCTTTCAGTGGCCTTTCTTCCATGGGGAGAGCTGCTGACCATCGTTTTATTGGTGCTAAAAGGAAAGTCAAATAGAGAGGCTAGCACAGATTTTATTTGGGTGTAATTGAGCTCTTGGAAGCCCGAGTCAAAGCTTTCCAGCACTAAGGGCTTTTCCAGGGCCTCAGGTTACTATTTAAGGGGCTCACAAAGATTTCCCCCTAGACTGTGTTTTTAGTACCGTATTTAATTTCCAGGTTTGTTCTACCCTTTTTATAATTAATAGTGCGTTGTGCTGTCTATCATGCGCCCCAGGTGTGTTGTCAGGGACATGGCGAAGCCTGCTGCCTGCAAAACACCAAGAAATGCTGAAAACCAACCCCACCAACCTTCACCGTGAGTATGGCTTTGGCTTTATTGACTGAAAATGTCCTCTCTTACGCAGATCTCTGGTTACAGAATTTATTAATTCACCTTGCATGTGGGCATAGATATTCTGGCTACTCTGTTGTATGTGTAATAAAAAAGGCTACTATTGAATTAGATAAAATTGTCTGCAAATGTGAACTCTGTATTAAGTATCTTTGCTAAGTGATGTTTCTAATGCCACGTTAGAGGCATAAAACTTGAGAAAACAGACACATTTTGGGAACTCGAGGGTGGCAGAAATTCTATATCTTTTCGATGTGGAATGCATGTGGACTAGAAACTAAGACTCTGGAAAAGTAGGATGCAAGGTACAGAGAGAGGTGGCACATGTGAGAAGGGGAAATGCATAAGCAGTCCATTTCCTACCTTCACACCAGGTGTTTAAAGATGGACAGTCTGAAAGAGCGATTGCCCATCTAGTTTTATCTTTATAATTGCAACCTCAAGTGTAGATTCTACTGAAGAGTTAAATGACCAACGGAAGAAGGAAGTAGAGAAGGAGCCAAATAAGTAAACTGGGTTGGGAATATAGATTTCAATGTGATAAAATGTAGAGAGCTTTAAAATTCTGCAGATTGGCAAGATATAGTCAGTCTTTTGAGAAGAATTATGCTCCTGATAGAAAAAATTAAACCTGTTCTTAAAATGTCTCAGCAGTGGCAAAATTCAACATAATTATCATAACCAAGTAGTTATAACTGGAGAAATGCCTCCTTCCAAGGTTTTCAGGAAAAGCTTTTGAAGAAATGTGTCTTAAGAGTAGCTTTTAAATAGACTATTTTTTTTTTTTTTTTTTTTTTTTTTTTTTTTTTTTTTTTTAGCTATCTGAAAGTTATTTGAAGCAAGACCAAAATAAAGTGATAAAATTGTAAAAAAAATTATGGGAAGTAAATTTTTGTAATACTTTTGCTATGACAAGTAATTTTTATTAGTATTAGCAAAGACCAAAATTAAATAAAGATTCTAATGCTTATTTTTTGTATATTACATATAGTCACAAATAGTTTAAATTATTTATACTTTAGGATATAACATTTTGTTAAATAAATTCCAAGAGGCTTCATTGGTGGGTTATATATTTTATCTCAAGTAGAATACTTGATTATTATTGAATATCATTCTACATTTAATCAGTACTTTTAATGAATAAAAATAATTTTTAGTCAATCCTAGTAAAAATGATTTATGATCACATTGAAGAAAAATACAAAGCTTGAAGTACTCTTAATCATGTTGCCATTTTTAAAAAAATAAATGTTCTTACTATAAAGCCATTTTCCTGATGATGGAAAACTTATGATCCTCACTTTCTATCTTATGCTCTAGGTTGTGGAAAATATTTTTCTTATATTAGGATTCAAGCAATTTCGAGCAAAGCATTTCAAAGAATTCACATTTATTTAAAAATATGTTCCACTTATTGAGGCTTTATTTAAATTGTCCCATTCATTCAAATTCCATTTGATATTCCCCAAACAATATATTTTTTAAAATATATTTTTATTGATTTTTTACAGAGAGGAAGGGAGAGGGATAGAGAGTAGAGAGTTAGAAACATCCATGAGAGTCATCGATCAGCTGCCTCTTGCACGCCCCTTACTGGGGATATGCCCATAACCAAGGTACATGCCCTTGACTGGAATCGAACCCAGGACCTTTCAGTCCGCAGGCCAATGCTCTATCCACTGAGCCAAATCGGTTTTGGCGATATTTTGTTTTAAAAAATATATATTTTATTGATTTTTACAGAGAGGAAGGGAGAGGGATAGAGAGTCAGAAACATCAATGAGAGAGAAACATTGATCAGCTGCCTTCTGCATACCCCCTACTGGGGTTATGCCCACAAGCAAGGTATATGCCCTTAACCAGAATTGAACCTGGGACCCCTCAGTGAGAAGGCCAATGGTCTATCACTGAGCCAAACCGATTAGGACCCAAGAATACTTTAGATGTTTTCTTTTATCTTGATTTTGTTTTTCATACAGTTATAGTTGTGGAAATCCATTGTAACTTACCTTGTACCTAGTGCAACTTTCCCTGTGGCCCCTCTGAGTATAGTGGCTGAGTGTAAATAATCCCTTTGGATTCTCTTTTCTACAATCCCTTTGCTCACTCTATATTTCTCTAACTAAAATAGTACACCTCTCTTTAAATGACCTGAAGAATTTAAAATTTGCACCTTTTCCCTTATTTCTACTGATTCTCTTTCGACAGTATTGTGTGTCACATATGTGTCTTTCTAGGTTAATAGGGAAAGATGACAATAAGTTGAGTGTAGGGATGATGAAGCATGGGCTCAAGCTTATAGATCAGTGTTTTTAAATATATGTCATAATCTTTTAGTGGGCCTGAAAATCAGTAGAGGCTAGTTTTTAAAATTTTTTTTTTCATTATGAATGGAATAGATCAGAAAATAAAAATGCATCTCATATTGGTATTGGTAGGATAAGTTCAGATTTTTGTATATGATAACTGGGTCAAATATAAATAAATACTACATTTATTTATAAGTTTTAGCAATGGTTTTTAATTAGGAGAGTGGCTTAGTCAGATATTTATTCTATGTATATATAAAGTATGTATTACTTTACTTTCACAGAGGTGGGGGAAATGGTATTTGAATGTGATGTGGGAAAAACTAGAGATAAGCAAATCAGTTGATAGACTGTTGTAATAAACCAGAGAAATATGATAAGGTCTTGGCCTATAGGAGTAGCAGAGAGTGTGAGAAGCAAGCATTTTAAGAGCTGAGTGAGAAGGCAAAAGGGCAGTGGGTGATTGTCAGCTCCATATGGCTTTTAAGGAAAATGTTTGGGGGATTATTATATCATTGGTTTGGGTGATTAAGTATCATTACCAAAGAGAATAAAAGAATCAAGCCAGGCCCAGAGGTGGGTGAGTGGTGAGTAGTTCAGATTTTGATATGATGATGTTGTGGTACCTGTGTTTTATCCAAGGGTATACATCCAAGAAGTAGTTGGGGACATAAAACTGAAGCACTCAGTTAACTGGGAAAATTGATTATGACACTAATGGATATATAATTAGAAAAAATAAGTACCAGAGAGAGTCTGAGGTAAAATAATGCTTAAGGAATGGGTAAAAGAAAAGGAACCCCCAACTCAAATGAGAACTAAAATTTGAACTCTGGTTCTTAGAGAACCAGAGCTGAGGTAGCAGAGGAATATAAGGGGAAACCACAATAGTAACAAGTTAGCAGAAAATCAGTTAACTATTTGAGAGATTAAATGTCTTTTTGGTTTGGCCAGACAGAAATTAAGGGGAGCATTTGTCATAGCAGTTTTAATAAACAAGGGTGAGCAAAACTAGGTTTACAGGTATAACACAAATAAAGAATATAATAATTAATTAATTAATAATAATACAAGAATAAACTGTTTTACATACTCACAACTACAAACCTACTTCTGTTTAAGTGGGTGGAAATTCTATTTCTGTGGGTGTGAGGAGGAAATGATAAGTTAGGAAAAGGAGACTGGGATTGCACATGCCTTTTTCAAAAACAGTTGACTGAATAGGGAAAGAGGAAGAGTGGTAGGTAGACAAGAAGTAGGGGGACTGTACTTGTGTTACTTGGTACATTCTATATTGCAAGTCTAGATTGTTGAATAAACATGTCAGTATAACTTATATTTTTTGATGGCTGTATTTAACACAACCAAAGATTATTTTTTTAGTTATTATTAAAATGTCATTCAGTCATATTTTAAACATGTTATCATCACTTAAAGTAATAAATATATAAAAAATATTAGTGGAGTTGAACAAATTGAGTCTTAGGCTTGGTATTCCTCGGGTATATTATGCATAGATAAATAAGATATAATTCCCATCTTAAGAATTCCTTCTCAAATTGAGGACAACAGTTATACAATCAATAAATTATAATCCTATATGATAAGTGCAACTATAAAAGTATGTTAAAAAAAAGAAAAGAAAGTGATTTATTCTGTTTGAAGTTGGTGTGGTCAGGGAAGTATTCATAGACCCTTTAATAGTTAGTATAAAATTTGAAGGATGAATAGTTCAGGAAGTAGGCAGTTTTGGGGTACAAGGTTCCAGAAGGAGAAAACAGTTGCCCCGAGGCCCAAAATATCGGGTTGTGCTGTAATTTAAAGTGTATACTCAATACCAGAGCCTATGAGTATGTGTACCTCTGGTGTGTGTGTGTGTGTGTGTGTGTGTTTGTGTGTGTGATTATGTGTGGGATGGGAGTCCATGTGTGTTTGGGGGTGAGTGTAGGTGGAGTGTGTGAAAGAGAGAGAGGAAGAATGGAGACTGGAAGTAGAAGCATTGCATCAGAAACTCTGAAGAATAAAACTGTGGAATTGGGAGAAAATGAGTCACACATGACTTTACTTTTAATACTGTATTTTGAAATTTGATATAACATGGATTTTTTTTGTGTGTGTGTTTTTCAAAGTCACCATGGATTTTATTTAAAGCCTGAGAAACACTTGTCTAGTCATCAGTCTCAGTCATGGATGTTCATGGGAATAACTAGGAGAGGTAGGAGGTAGGGTGGATTTGAGAAAGTTTCACCGGTAGTATAATTAGAATACAGTGGTTCATTAGATGTGCTAATAAAACAAAGAGGAGAAGAAATAACTCACTTTAGCTCAAGAGATTAAGTGGATGTGATAAAATTAAAAGAGAATTAATTTATGTACTAGTATTATGCTAAGTGATATAAGCCAGTCAGAGAAAGACAAGTACCATGTGATTTTACTCAGATGTGGAATCTAATGAACAAAATGAACTAACAAGCAAAATAGAGACAGACTCATAGATAGAAAGCAGGCTGACAGCTAAGGGGGACGAGTGTAAATGGGGGCACTAAAAAGGAAAAAAAAGGAGAAAAGAACTCATGGATTCAGACAACAGTGTGGTGATTGTTGGGTGGGAGGATGGAGGGAGATGGAGGAGGGTTTGGGGTGATAAATGGT